AAAAAAAAAAAAAAAAGGCCCCCCCCCCCCCCCCCCCCCCGCTCCCGCCCTGGTTTTTCTATTGGCGTTCGTTTTGTGTTTTTTTTCTTTTCCTTCGTTCCTCGACAATCAGGCCGCCAAACGGAGTACCGCGCCGTTGTGACCGGCCTCCCCCAGAGCGCAAGCTGGCAAGACCTGAAGGATCACATGCGCAAGGTGATGGATGGATGGATGAGCCAACGACGCTAAGTCAGCGATGTCGTCGTATACTTGTTAGTGCTCTCGATCGAGAGTTCTTTGCGGCGCCGATATGCCTCAGCTGTCGAAATCAAGTGCAGAGGTTTGAGCAAGCAGCGGGGGATTGCACGGATAGTATGCTGCTGTGTGTGCTGGCGGCGTATGGCCTGCTCTCTAACTTGTAGTTATCGACATTTTTCTCATGGCTTTTTTTTCCCGTCAGTCTATCGCTCTCTGCCATGTACCTTGCTCTCTGACTTCAGATTTCGACATTTTTTCGTATCATATTATTCCCGTACTCCAGTCTCTATGTACCACCGTATGACCTTGCTCTCTACTGTAACACTTCTGGTTGTGGACATTTTTTTTATTAATGATGAGCAGGCGGGAGACGTGAACTACGCGGATGTGGACCACAAGGGTGGAGGTGTGGTGCACTTCAACAACAAGGAAGGGATGGACTACGCCCTGCGCAAGCTTGACGGCTCCGAGTTCTCCAACAGATACGACACTGCCACCATCTCGGTGGGTACACTTTGTTTTTTGTTTGTATTTGGTGATACGCATATATTTATACGCATACATTTTGGCAATTTTTTGTTTAATTTTTGGGGGTGGGGGGTGGGTAGGACATGAAGTACGTATGGCCTGCAGTGCTCTTGGTGTTTTTCTTGCCAGAAGCTTGATGTATTCGTGTATGGACGTGTGCTCTCTTTTAGTTTTCATGCAAGAGTGCTTGCCAACCCCGTACTTGGAGCTGGAAGTTTTATTGTCGTGTGATGGCTTCGACCCCGGCAGATGGCCGTGCTCAGGCAACGGCACCGTAACTGTTACCGTCGGTAGCATACGATACCACAACCCTCTGGGCCGAGTTTCAGAGCTTAACTACTCCGCAGAGAGGATGCTAAATATATGCGGCTATATTCTCTCTAGAGATATACTTTGCGATAGTTGCGATTATGAGGGAATGGGCGGTTTGTTCTGGTTTGTTGGGTTGTCGTTTGCCGCATGACATTGAGAAGCGCGCGGGTTGACACCTCTGGCATGGCACTGACGGGCACCTCATGGGTGTTTGTCGTTCAACCCATTCCAACATGACGCCGATGGGTACCACATGGGTGCCTTTCGGCTCAACCAATTGAATTTGGCTGATGGATACCACGTGGTGTCTTTTGGCTCAACCATTCCAACATGACGACGCTGATGGATACCAAATGGGTGTCATCTTTGGTTTAACCGTTCCAACATGACGAGGCTGATCGGTACTTTGTACCACCGCAATGGGTTTATGTCTCTCTTTTTTCCCTCTTCGTCGTGCAGGTGCTGCCTCACCGCGACAGCGTCCGAGACAGCCGATCCAGGAGCCGGTCCCCTCCCCGCCGCGAGCGTTCCAGGGAACGCCGCCGCTCGAGGTCCAGGTCGCCGCCCCCCCGCGACTCCTACCGCGGCAGGTCTCGTTCTCGCTCCCGGTGATTTGGCCCGTGGCGGCCGTGGACGACATGTCATGTCGATCGAGCCCCCCCGCCCTCGTGTGTAGCAGCAGCGGCGGTGGATGCACCACATGATCATCGTGATCGATGCATCGGAAGGGTTTTGTGTGTGCCCCCCCCCCCCCCCCCGGGGGTTTTCCCCCGAAGGGGGGGGGGGGGGGTTCCCAGGATTTTTTTTTTTTTTTCGGGAAAAGGGGGGGGGAGGGGGGGGGTTAAAGGGCCCTTTTAAAAACCCACAAAAGCCT